AAAGATTTGCTCTCACAGTTCAAGGTTGCTGCCATAGCAATTGCTTCAGGCAAGTTCAAACTTGCAAACTTAACATCAAAACCGTAGATTTTCGGTGTCCTGATTGTACAGAACAATAAACAAGTCCAATCTTGCATTAGATATCTAAGGATGTTTCTCATTAGCACTAACATAGTCTATTTCCATGTCTCAGATGAAAAAATTGCGTTGCTTGGAGCTATCCAATCTCTATTTGAAGGCTCCATGTACACATTTGTTTTCCTTTGGACACCAGCTCTTAGCCCAAACGACGAAGAAATCCCACATGGCTTCATCTTTGCGACCTGTTGGCTTCCATGTTAGGAAGCTCGTTTCATGGCTCGCTCATCTCCTAGAGTCGAAAGCTACATGCAAATCGTCTTTCTAGTCTCAGCTGCTTCTCTTCTATTTCCAATCATAACAAGCGTATGTATCGATCAACTTTCCTTGAACTTCTACAGTGTTAACTCTTTCCTCATGATCATAACCGCTTCTAATAAAAACAGGTCTTAGTAACCCCATCAAAGGTGAAAACCAAAGGCATGTCCCTCACTGGTTGCATTCAGCTTCTGGGATTCTGTGTTTTCGAGGCATGCGTTGGAATCTTCTGGCCTTCAATCATGAAGATGAGATCACAATACATTCCTGAAGAAGCACAAAGCACCATCATGAATTTCTTCCGGATACCACTGAACATTTTCGTCTGCGTTGTCTTGTATAATGTAAAGAGAAGATTTCAATGTCCTAACGAAAGAAGGAAAAAAAAAGAGGTAAAAATCAATCTGCAAAATTCACTAACCATTTTCGTTGTTGTTTTCTACAGGTTAACGCGTTCCCGATCACCATTATGTTCGGGATGTGCTCTATCTTCCTCTTTGTAGCTTCCATATTACAACGGAGGCTTATGGTCATCTCTGACAAACCCAGTACGTAACTAAACAGTCTGATAATAACTCTTCTCTTTTCTTTTGCCTCGTTTAAAAATGCGAAAACACATGAACTCAATGCGTGCACATGTGGGTTTTGTTTGGTTCTGTTGCAGAAGCAGAGGATTGGATTCCCATGAAGGATCGAAACTCAGAAACTGAGCCACTCAATCTCTAATCATTCATTCATCAGTTTTCCCCCACCCGAAATGCCAAGTCAGTCAATGAAAGAAAAACAACCTTTATGCGATTGGATGAGTTCATTCATTACGGTATAGAAACATGTTTGATTGAGAATGCTTATTATGCGATTGGATGAGTTCTCATCATGCAATCATTCCTTCTTCTTTTTTATATATAGTTTCGGTCAACAAAAGAGTATGTATTACTGTCTACTGATTAATATACTTACACTTGTAGATGAGATAGTTTAGAATATATCTTCGATTGTTAATTTATGCTTCTAGTCCATATCTAAAGTTTAGAGGAAAGAACTGATTTATATGAATAACTACTGTATGCAGAAACTGTTGGCTATAAATTTGATTGAGTGAGTGATTATCAGTAGACAACACTCTTTTGTTTGAGACAAAAACCGATCAAACATCAATGATGAAACGCCAAACGCAATGCAGCCGCCCTTTGGACATAACAAAAAAAAAAAACAGTTCCCTGTCGTAAATAAATTAAAAAACTATGAAACGCATAAACAGATTTACCCTCTCCTAATTACCTTTTTTTTTTTTTTTACCATTTCACCTTGGAAAAAGCTTCCTTTTCATATCATCTGCTGTTTGTACAACTAGAAAGAGACGCTAACGCAGATCGTATAACTTCCTTTGAATTGCCCCTTAAGCTTGACACTGTATTCTTCAGCGTTTCAACTTCTGTGCTCTCACCAAACGAATCATCCAAATGCTCGAAAGACTCAAGCTGCTTCTCCAAGTATCTCCTCAAACTTGCCTCTGCAACATTAATCAGACTAAGAGATGGGTTACTGTGCATGAACTTGGTCACCAAAAATCCGGCTAAAATTTGTTGATCAGCCTTCACAAGCCCCGAGACAAAACACGGGAACATGAGTTCCCCAAAACATGACGGAATCCGTCTCCCAGGACTTGCATTCGAGTCTCTTTTATTGGCCTGAGTAATCTGCTCCTCTTGGAACTCCCGGGATAGCTTTCCAATCAGATAACAGAGGTAGGAGAAGACTGAGCCGTAGGAAGAATCGGAAATGATCGTTGAGAGTGTCCCAGAATATATAACCAGAAGTAGAACTTCGTGATGGCTCTGACGCGATAACTCTGGAATGCCTTCTTGCTTTAGTTTTTCTTCAACAACACTTAGACACTGAGTTCTAATCTGTTCGTAGGGTAACAAAAGAGAAATCTTTAGTGCGAGATATGGGTCAGTCCTGGCCAAGACCCCGGTCAGGCTTTCTGCTTCACTTTCTTCAAGCAGAACCTCTTCGGGTTTCTGAAGCGATCTATCTATAAGTCGTAGAACATTTTCAGGCATGCACAATGCAATGTACTTTATGAAAATATCCAGCCAGCATGAATGTAAACGATGAGCCGAGACTACGTATTCCTTGTTTTCTTTCTCCACTGGTTCTGAATCCTGAAGTGTTTCCCATCCATCATTCCAATCATCATCGCCCCAATCGTTTCCTTGGTCGGTTGCCTCTTTAGACGGCAATAGTTCGGCTTTCTTAGCTTCAAACAGCTCTTCCCATCCTTCTAAAATCGCCAGAAGAGCTTCGGCTTGTGAAGCTGTAGTAACAGCAGCAGAGAGGTTAGAAAAGCAGGAAACAGATGTCTCAACAGTCGATAGATCTTCAGGGGAGATCTCTAAGCCTGGAGAGATAGACGCCACAGCGATCTGAGATGATTTAAGTGCAACTAGAGTGTTTGTGAGCCTGCTAGAGCCATCAGCCTGGTCAGGCAACGCTTGGTTAAGTGTGGCTTCAGTCTTCTGCATAGATGATAGTAACTCAGCCGAACCGTCCCATGGCATAACGTTTGATTGTAGCTCAGACGATGAGCCCTTGATATTCTTTCCCGAAATGAACTGCATAAGCTCTAAGGAGTAGACGCGAACCTGACTTGGCAACTCCAGGTTCTCAGAAAATATTACGAGTTTTTCCCACACTTCAAGCCTAACACGCTTCAGTTCTTCCAGGTTTCCTTCCAAGTTACTGAGAGAAGATAGCAACCGGTAGAGATGCTGTGTTTCGTGAGCCCCAGATACCAAATCCTGCAAAATAGGCTCAAGTACACTCAAATAAAGATGAGGAAGATCCTGCAAAGCTGTTGGATACCGAGAGGATAAATCTGAGAAGACATCAGAAATGGGCCCGAATCCGCAACCAGAGAAGACCATGGCTCTGCAGAAGTTGAGTATTTCTGTGACGCAATCACCAACCAAGCCAGACCTAAGGTAGACAAGTATTGCAGCCCAAGCCTGACTGGGGGAGAGACTGTCGTCCATTACTAGCTTTATGAGAATAGTAAGACAACTATTAATGCATTCAGGGCTTATGGTTAGATTCTCCACCAGACTTGGACTAGATGATTTCACTTCCTGCATCTCATCAGCTAACCTTGTCCAAAAGTTAATCAGCAAGATGAGACATTCTTGCCATGTAGAACTATCAGGGATGTGCATGTAGGAACCATTTGGCGGTAGAACTAAAGTAAAATGCCGTTTCAAGATTTCTAGAGCCTGTAAAGGTTCCAAGATCCTGATATATACTCTAGAGTGGTCATAGGTCTGCTCGAGTTGACTGAGGAAGCCCTGGAAACTCTCTGCACTTCCGAAATCAAGATCTCTTCTACTTTCCAATGTATCTAATAAATTCATAATATATTGTTTGTAGACATCTTGCCAGGAAATGAGACCTTTGGGAGAATTCTCCATGAAGAAGCCAGTGAGAGTTTCTACCATTTTGGCCAAAGCTTCCAAGTTCATCTCATTGATGTGCGCATGGACTTCATTGTTGAATCTGTCAAAGTTCAAACCTCCCAAATCCGCGATATTTTTGAAATCCAAATCTGTGATAAACGACACTCTACTGCATTCCTGCTTGAAGATGTTATACAAATTTGATAACCCAATGAAAGAACCATGAGGGTTAATCTGTTGCACCAACAATGATTCTTCCTTGCTTTCTTCCAAATGGTAATAGCACTCAGAAAGAAGGCTGTATATGTAAGCAAGGCGTTGTTTGTTAAGACCACTAACTGCTGGGTACACGATCGTGCTTATGGTTTGTATGGTGTCTGAATGAAAGGCAAGTATTTCTTCCTTGACTTGTAAAATTTCAGCCGTTATGTCCTCATTTGTCCAAACCTCAGAGCAAAGGATAGAGGTTAAATACCTTAATATCACCTGGTGAGAAGACAAAGACAGATATATAGTCGATGCAGTTGAGTAAAGGATAAGCTTTAACGAATTAGATGTATATTTCCTACCTCTGATTGCTCCAAGCCATATGTATCAGCTAATTGTAGTACATCCTTCAAAATCAGCTTCTTCTCCGATTTCACAGATCCAATGAGTGAGAAGATAGCACTCTTAATGTAGTCAATATCATGGGACATAAACCTTTCAGTCTCAACTCCGGGAATAATTCTCTCTAGCATTCTAGAACGATCAGCTACATGCATTTTTTCCTCTAATTTATGTTTCCATTCCTTCCAAAATGTTGACTGAAGTTTGTCGATCCTGCTCATATCATCTGAACCAAAATAGAACAAGTAGGAAAAATATTCAGGAGCACAAAATGTTACTGATATATAAACACATCAAGGTGTCAAAAAGGGTCTAAGAAATTAAGTATTTTGAGAAAATAATAGACCAGAAACAATTACCAGAGATACTTTCCGTCTGCTTTCTCTCGAAGTTCTTCCGTAGCAGTTCTTTCCTCTGATTGGGAGCTGTGCACTCTACTGCAGAGTCATGTAGCAAACTATATATCATCCCTAGACTCATGATACTTCGAATTTCTTGGTAGCTCTCCCTTTTTCTTAACTGTTTTTCTATAACTTCTACTGCATTAGATGCATCTACTAGATTCAACAGAAAGGAGCATCCTATAACGTCTTCCTCTTTTGTTACCGGTTGTTCAATGATTGAGTCTGTAATCATGGCTATAAGCTCATCTTTTGGCGCAAACCCATTCCTTGCCAGCCAAGAAAGAATGGTAACAAGAGCAGTTGCTTTTATGCTGACAAACTGCTTTCCAGGAATTGGATCAAGCACTAGTCTTTTATCCAATTTCCTATTTCTACCCAGCTTAAGCAACCAAGGAAGATGTGAAGCAGCGAATGAAAGAAGCTTCCCATTTTCCTTTAGAAGAGATTCCAAGTCCACACTATTATCAACCGGCAAGTCCTTAGCAACACTAGAAAGTGTATCTTTGACTCTATCCAAATCTAGTTGTTGATCAATGCTTAGCCCATCAAGCATCTGAGGGAAATCTCTCAGACAAGAAACACCGTCCATCTTGTGAAACTCAGGAGAATCCGACTCTGATAACATTCCCAGAGTCTCGCATTGGCCTTGCAGATCAAGATCTTTCCATGCGTGCAATAACTCACTGATTGATTCATCATCACAGTGACCCAAAGCAAAGCCAAGCAACTGCTTTCTAGAAGTTACATCCATGTTCTCAAGTGCAGGACCCCTTGCTATTGCAGCACCTAAATCCCAAATAGGACCATGCCCCTTTTTGGTTAGAACAAGGCATAGATCAAAAGCCAGCTGCAGATCGCCTGCAACTGCAGCTTCTCTAGCAATAGCTTCCTCAACAGATGATATTTCTTCTGAAGAATTCAACCCAAGAAGTTTAGCAACCTCAATAAGTTCTTCAACATGAAGATAAGCCCCAGGATGCCCCGTGATTGCCATCTTAATAATCTCCATTGGGTCTTTTACTTGTTTGAACTGCACTGGTAAGAGAGTAACCCCAAGATCTGGAAGCCTAACAGTAACTGCATCGATGATATCGGCCTCAGCTTTAACAGTCCGGCTACTAGAAAATATATTCAGGCACTCCCTGGCTTTCCATATCTGAAAAAACAATTTGCAAAAATGCGAATGAAGAAACAAGTTCGCACAAAGAGAATCCTTGCTCACTAAACTTTATGAGAAAAAATAACTCTACATCACCAGAAG